TCTCCTTCTCTCTCTCTCTCTCTCTCTCTCTCTCTCTCTCTCTCTCTCTCTCTCTCCTTGTGATTTCAGACCCAGGCGGCGGTAGCAATTTCTTCCTCTCTCTCTGCCCCTTTTATTTTCTCTAGCGCTCAACAAAGATTTAAGGGGAGGATTTAAGAAGGGGGGCACTGTAGGAGGTTAATAATTAAAGAGGGGAATTTAAGAAGGGAATTATCACTGCAGCTATAGTGATAATTAGCATTTATTGAGAGATCTCAAGTTTGAGATCTGCTCTTGCATTATAATTTCTTTGATTAATAAAAAAATAATTGTGTGGCTCCCGAGGACGTAGGCAAGTTTGCCGAACCTCGTAAATCTTGGTGTATTTTTCTCTATACTGTGTTTCTTGCTGTTTTAGGGGTTTAGCGTAGCCCCGGGTATTTCCCAACAGTTCATGACGACGAGCTCCTCCGGTGAGGGACAAGCTCCTCATGGTCTTGGTTTTGATTCAAGCTGGGTTATGAAAAGGCTATTGTTCAAGTAACTATTCGATTATATTCGATTAAGTAGCTCATCAAACACTAAACAAATAATTTTTAGTATTTGAGTTCGTTAACGAATAGAATATATCCAAATGTATATTCGATTGGTTTTCTTATCAAATATCTGTTTAAAATTTGATCATTTATAATTTGCATTATTACACACATGATATTATATTTTCAAACTATTTATCATTTCTATTAAAGTTTTATATACTAGTTTTGAGACTTAAATAATCTTAAATTAGTTTTCTGATGAAAATTTCAAATTAAATATATACATCATATATATTATGAATGAATAATTTTCATATTTGATTTTAATACTATTTAAAAATCAAATTTTTTAGCGGAATGAGTTTACATTGATATTCGATTAATGTTCGTGAGTATTCATGAATATTTATCGAATACCAATAGTTCGAGTTAGATTTTGGGAAACTCCATTCATGAATATTTGAATTTGAGCTAAAATCCGATGGTTTCAAACAAATACAAACACCTTAGTATTCGATATGATTCGATTCAATCGTTTATTTTACAAATTACAGCGCACTTGCAGCCACACGAATTGGCTTCGGCCTTAACAGTAGCCGGCCGGTCCATCTACGCGGTCTATAAGAATCCTGGCCTACGACATATATGGGCTAAGGAAACGAATGATTTGCCTCTGCCCTTTTCCGTTCTGGTAAAATTTCGTGTATTAGTTTTTCAGCAGTAGCAATCCGTATTGAATTTTGCTAGCTCCGCAGTTGGAGCAGTTGAATTCTTTCGTTCAAAGTATGTAACAGAAATTTGCAATCAGTCTTAAAGAATAAGATGTTAACTACAATCATGAATAAAATGGTGTTACTGTAACCATTTTTATTGTTTTCTTGATATGTCAGTGTTATTTTGCAGGCATACAAGGTGTTTGCTCGTTGGCCTGAGAGAACTATTTTTGAGAGAAAAGCCGAGCGACCTCGTTTTAAGAAAATTGAAACCAGGTCAATTATTAACCCATTTCCCAAGATGGCCCCTATTTTCTTTTGTTTATTTTGTTCCTCTTTATAAAGAAAATAATTTATTTGCCTAGAATTCATATTGTTCTTAGTGGAGGAAATAACCTTTAACAGAAGTTACAGAACTGAATGGAAGTCTAAGATTCATATAGCCCATCTCAAAAAATTTTGGGGCTTTGCTGTTGTCGTTTTCGTTCCTATATTGTTCTTATTTACTTCCCTTATCTAGTAGCTTAGCATGAGTAAATTACACGACAATTAGATTGACCTAGAAAGTCTCTTTAGAAGATTGTCATGCTGAATGACAAAATTTAAATTCAATGCTTTGACCATTTCTTGCAAAATGAATTAAGTATTAACCAAATCTCTAATATTAATTGTAAGACAAAGTTTCGTATGATACTCTCTCCTTATAGTTTCTTTTATATTTATCATTTTTGGTCAAGTATTACACCTTTCTAGTAACTCCCCTTCATTTTGCTTTATTACTCTGGCACCTTATGTACAAAAATGTTTATGAACAAATATTTAGAACACACAGAATTGAAAATAATCAAAGACAAAAAAAAAAGAAGAACTAATTTAACAACCTGTAAAGAGTGTAGGCCTTCCTTTTAATTGAACTATCTAGCTAGAGAGAGTACTTTTAATTGAACTATCTAGCTAGAGAGAGTACACAATACTTATCTTCTGTTGTATAGGTCTTGTTCTTTATTTTTTGGAAAAATTGTGTCAATGCCCCAAATGAGAGAAGTTGATGTGCCCAAGCCCTTTGTAGTATTAGAATTAATATAAAACTATAATCCTCGACCATCACCATAACTTCGGAGTTTTGATGTAATGGTTAGAGGAACTAAATTTACGATGGTATCAGAGCAACCCAGGTTCAAATCCCACCGGCCACGAATTAAGTGCGGATTTTCTAAAAATTGACACTGCAATGTGAGTCCAGGTTTTGACCCATAAAAAAGGACGCTCGACCTGTAGGGACATGTTAGAATTAATATAAAACTATAATTCTCGGTACTTATCATAACTTTACAGTTTTGGTCTAATGGTTAGAGGAACTAAATTTAAGACGGTATCAGAGTAACTCCGGTTCAAATCCCACCAACCACGAATTAAATGCGGATTTTCTAAAAATTAACACCGCTACGTGAGTCCAGGTTTCGACCCATAAAAAAGGACGCTCGGCCTGCGGGGGCATGTTAGAATTAATATAAAACTATAATCCTTGATTCTCACCATAACTTCAGAGTTTTGGTTTAATTTTTAGAGGAGCTAAATTTAAGATGGTATCAGAGCAACCCAGGTTCAAATCCCACCGGCCACGAATTTTAAGCAGATTTTCTAAAAATTAGCATCGTTGCGTGAGTCCAAGTTTTAGCCCATAAAAAAGGGCGTTCAACCTACGGAGGCATGTTAGAATTAATTTAAAACTATAATCCTCGACCCTCACCAACTAAATTTAAGATGTTGTTTCATCTTTGTGCATAACCCCACAGTACGAGGCAATATTGCGTTTCAACCCATATTCCTCTGCCAACTAAGCACAGAGAGAGGGGGAGAAAAAAATAAAAAACCTAAAAATACCCCCTCCCTCTTCCCTCCCCCCTCTCTCTCATGGAGATCACAACCATGATGAGATTTCTCCTCTCCATGCCTCCTCCCAATTCAATCCTCTCCTTAAATCCTCCTCCCCACCTCCACCACCCGCGCCATTGTGAATTTTGTTGCTCCTCCCTCCTCTCCTCTTTCCTAACCCTAAGCTTAACGCTAACCTTCATGATTGCTCTTCCCTCCGCTCCTCCTCTCTCCTAAGATTAACCCTAACCCTAATGTTCCTCCTAATACAATCTCTCCCCCTTCCCCAACGAGCAAGATCTCATCTTTCCTCCATCACCGCTGCACCCAATCCAAATTCTCACCCAGATCTAACCCTGAATCAGCCTCCAATTTCATCAATGCCTCCTCTGGCGATCCTCTCCTCCCCATGAACCACCACCACCCTCAAGCGCTTCCTCAACAAGTTCGACTCCAACAGTGACGACAAGATCTTTTCCTCCGACTTCACAACTAGCTTCTCCTCCCTCAAGCACCCCTCTCCACCTCTAACCTCTCCTGGATGATGGCCGAGAGTGATTTTGACGGCGACATATTCATGGACCGCGTTAGTTGCTCACCAATTTTTTTGATGAAATGACTCACAAAACTTTTATTTTGTGGAACACTGTGATTGCTGTTAATGAACAAGAACATGAAGGAACAAAAGCGGTTGAGCTATTTCGATGTAATTGGGCTCTTTGATCACTCATCCCTAAAGGCGTTGACTCATTCATAATTGAATCTTAAGTGATCATTCAGAAGTTTGTTGAGAAAGCTATATGGGATCATTCAGAAGTTTGATGTAATCGAGCTATTTCACTTATGAAGAAAGATATTCCATATTTTTATCTTTACATTTACTGCTCTTTGTCATTGCTTTCCTCTAATTGGAGGTGTTTTATCTAGTTTATGTCGTTCTTTAAGGATGAAGTTGGATTTGTCGATAAGTTGAAAGACCTACTATCATTGAACTATGAACCTAGCTTAGTTATTTGAGTCTTGTTGATTGATAATAGTTTTTTGCTTGTGTTTGACTCTATTGTATGTTAACTTTACTTTATGTATTTAAGTTTATAACACAAATGATAAACTTGCACAATGCATGTTGTTGCCTGTTAAGTTATGTTTTTATGTTATAAAGTTATAGTTTTTTGGGAAGGAAGTGGATAAAGACACCCTAGGAAAAAGCGGAAAGGGAAAATAAATGAATGAGCATATAATATTGTTATCAACTACGCTACAGAAAACTAAGCAAATAAATTCTTTCCTGGAATTAGATAAAGTATATGCTTTCATGATCTTCCTATTAATGTTACCTTATTCCTGATTAAGGTTAAGTCATTTTCTGTTAAGATTACCATATTTTGTATTAACGTTAAGTCATTTTCTATTAAGATTAAGTCATTTCCTGTTTAGGGTGCCATATTTCATATTAAGTCTAAGTTATTTTTTGTGAAGTATAAGTTGTTTCATGTTAAGTCTAAGTAATTTGTATCAAGTTTAAGTCATTTCCTATAAAGTTGTATCATATCATATGAAGTTTAAGTCATTTTCTGTTATGGGTATATCGTTGCCTATTATGTTGTATGTTATAAAGTTGCGATTTTTTTGGGAAGGAAGTGGACAAAGTAACCCTAGGAAAAAGCAAAAAGAGAAAATAAATGAAAGGACATATAATTTTGTTATCAACTACGCTTTAAATAACTGGGCAAATACATTCTTTCTTGAAATTAGGCAAAACATATGTTTTCATGATCTTCTTGTTAAGGTTACCTTATTCCCTATTAAGGCTAAGTCATTTCCTGTTAAAGTTACTATATTTTCTGTTAAGGTTAAGTAATTTCCTATTAAAGTTAAATCATTTTCTATTAAGGATATCACATTTTGTGTTGAATATAAGTCATTTTCTGTGAAGTTTACGTTATTTTGTGTTAAGTCTAAGTTATTTCCTATTATGGATAAGTCATTGCCTATTAAGTTATGTTGTATGCTATAAACTTGTAATTTTTAGGGAAGGAAGTAGATAAAGAAACATTGGGAAAAAGCGGCTAGGTTTCAATGATATTTTCTTTATATTTCATTTATACATGATTTATTATTATCACAGTCTAAGAAACCATATATCTCTTTGGCATTTCATCAAACACTTTATGAGCAATCTCCAAACTACCACATATCATATATCCTTTTAACAAACTACCCCAACAAAATAAATCTCACTCATCTATTCCAGTCAAAAGTAAACTAGCAAGATCCAATCTACTATTAAGAAGTAAAATTGTAAATAATCAAATCATGAGATTTGTTTATGAGAGAAATGAAGGAGGGGAGAAGAGGAGGTTATAGATGGTTTTGAGGAGGTGATAGTCTCGTCCATTATGCAGGAGAGTTTAGAGGAGAAGAGGAGGTGGTCAAGGGAGGAGAAAATAGTGGTGCACTCAGAGGAGAAGATCTTTTCGTTACCATTAGAGTCAAACTAGTTGAATATGTGCTCAAGTTCAATCGTGATAGAGGGGGAGGTGGGAGAGGAAAACAGCGGGGGTCGGGAAGATAGTTGGATTGGATGAGGAGATGATGAAGGTTAGGTTAGGGTAGGAGAGAGGAAGAATAGAGGAGAGAAGGGAGGAGCAACCCTAAAGGTTAGGTTAGGAGAGAAGAGAGGAGGGAGGAGTAATAAAGTTAGCCGAGGTGTGAACAATGATGTAGTGGAGGAGGATTTAGGAAGAGGGTTAGTTGGGAGGAGGAAGAGAGGAAAAATCTCAGTTGGTTCTAATCTTCACGAGAGAGAGAGAGATCTGCCACATTTATGATTGGAGGGGTAATTTAGGGATTTGGAAGAAATACAATATACACAACGTATACCACTGAGTTAGAAGGGCTGGATCATACTTTTTTTGGGTTTTGGGGTTTTTACACATGAGAGAAAGGTTGAAGTGGCTGCTGAGATAGGTTTCTTGATTTTGGAGCATGCTCACAATACTCCATTTTTTAAATAGAAATTAAAAGAAAGCCCTTCTGCAACTTTATGAGAAAAATCGACCTCTTTGTGTTTTAATTAGCAAAATCGTCCACTGTGTCAGACTTCTATTAACAAAGAAAAAGAAGCTATTGCTCTATACAATAGGCTCCTAGATTGTGAGAGGTCTTTCTACCAACAAAAAGCAAGGATTTCTTGGAGTTTAAAGGGTGACAAAGGTACAAGTTTCTTTCACTCTGTCATTAAAATGAATAGGCACCAGAATAAAGTGATGGTTCTGTATAATGATATGGGACAGAGATTTACAAGTGGAGATGAAATTGCAAACGAGTTTATCTCTTATTATAAAAAGCTTATGGGCACTGCTGTTGCAACTGAAAAGCCAGATATGAATATTATTAAAGCTGGACCTTGTCTAACAGATACTCAGGTCAGATTGCTAGCTAAACCTGTCACAAAACAAGAAATTAGAGAAGCTATTTTCTCAATGTCTGAAAATAGATCTCCTGGGCCTGATGGATACAGTGTTAACTTCTTCAAAGCAGCTTGGAACATTGTGGGTGATGAGGTCTCTCTGGCAATCGAAGACTTCTTCAAAACTGGTAAACTATTGGGAGTGGTAAATTCTACATCTCTTACTCTCATTCCTAAAATTCAATGCCCAAAAACTCCTTCTGACTTCAGACCTATCTCTTGTTGCAATTGTCTATATAAGTTCATTTCAAAAATTTTGGCTAATAGATTAAAAATGGTTATGGGTCACTTGGTGAATGAATCTCAAAGCGCCTTTGTAAAAGGCAGACAAATCACAAGCAACATCCTCTTGGCTCATGAATTGGTTAAAGGATACTCCAGGAAACATGTTTCACCAAGAATAATGTTAAACATAGATATCAAAAAGGCATTTGATACTATCAGTTGGAAATTTCTTGAAGAGATGCTCTTTGGTTTGGGTTTTCCTGCTGTTATGGTAGACAGAATCATGACCTGTATTTCAAATCCTAAGTTCTCTATCTCTTTTAATGGCTCTCTCCATGGATATTTCAAAGGGGAGAGAGGATTGAGACAAGGGGATCCTTTATCCCCATACCTATTTATTTTAGGTATGGAATATCTTTCAAGAAGTCTGGACATGTTGAAGATGGATAGATTGTTTAAATTCCACCCTAAATGTGGGAAACAAAAAATTACCCATCTCATTTTTGCGGATGATTTATTATTGTTTGGAAGAGGAGATGTCTACACTGTCCAGAGATTGTTTTAGTGTGTTAAAAATTTTGGGGCAGTCACAGGTTTGGAGGCAAACAAAGACAAGTGCTCTGTTTTCTTTGGAGGAGTAGATGAAAATACTAAGAACTCTATCATTAACCAGTTGGGTTTCAAGGAAGGTTCGCTACCAATCAGATATTTAGGAGTTCCACTCATCTGTAGGAGACTAACATACATGGATTGTAGTGATCATTTAAGCAAAGTTTCAAACCAACTGCAGACTTGGCTGAAACACAGGAATCTCACATATGGGGGTAGGCTACAAGTCATCAAAAGTGTTATTTTGGGGGTTCAAGTTTTCTGGACTACAAATTACATTCTGCCCATTAAAGTCACCCAGAAAATTGATGAATTATGTAGGAATTTCCTATGGGGGAGAACAAATCTGTCTCAGAAAACCCCTTTAGTGGCATGGCATATTGTTTGTCAAGGTAAGAAACAAGGAGGACTGGGTATTTTCTCAGCTACTATTTGGAACCTGGCAGCCACTTTGAAGAATCTTTGGTGCATACATATGCATAAAGAATCCCTTTGGATCAAATGGGTCCATGGAAATTACTTAAACCAAAGAGATATATGGCATGTAACTGTCAGAAAGAGTGACTCTTGGATGTGGAAGCAAATGATCAAGCAAAGAGATAAAGCAATTCTTCTTTGTGGAGGAGTTGACAACCTGTTAAACCTTATTAGCACCTGCTCTGAAGGAAATAAGTCTCAGATATCATCATTATACTATGCATTATATAGTGCTACGCAGATGGTAAAATGGCACAAAACAGTGTGGGATAATATGTGCTATCCTAAGCATGCTTTTGTATGTTGGCTTACAATCCAAAACAGGCTTCTAACTCAGGACAGACTGATGAGAAGAGGGACAATCAATGAAAATACATGCTACTTATGCTCGGGTGCAGGTCAGGAAACAAGAGATCATCTATTTTTTGAATGTTCTTTCTCTGGTACAGTATGGAACAGAATTATGGAATGGCTGAGCTTTAAATGGAAATCATGCAATTGGGGACTCCTTTTAGATTGGTATTGTACTAAGCTAAGAGGAGGTGGGTTCAGAAAAGGAGTTAAGCGAATGGCATTATCAACAGCTATATACAGATTGTGGATTGAGAGAAATACAAGGTTTTTTCAGGAGAAGATCAAAAATGCAGATCAGGTTGTGAAGGATATCAAAATGGACATATTGACTGTTATTTTGAATATGTCCATACCTGACGATCAAAAGGAATGGGTGGCTTCTTTATAAACCTGTTCCCAGTAGATAAATATTCTCAATTTACAGGAAAACACATGTTAGATTTTTTTGCTTTCTTTTGATATCTCACAACAAGTGAGATTCTTGATGTGTACAGATTTCATCACTTTGGTTTATGAATAAATTCTTTTCATTGACCAAAAAAAAAAATTTAGCAAAATCGATATCTTTTTGACTACTTCATTACGGCTGGTTAAAAAGAGGTCCATTTTGCAAAATATAATCTTCAAAATACAAGGGACTAGTAGTTCCGTGTATTTAGTGGTTGTTTATTTAGAATTAACTACCTCTTTGTAGCCTCATTTACACATAAAGATCTAATTAGTCAGTAATTAGTGACCGTTAACTACACGACACTATCGTGTAATTCGAACACTATATTTTGTAAAATCAAACTCTTTTTAGCCAGCCATGATGATGTGGCAAAAGGAGGTTGATTTTGCTAATTAAAACACAGAAAGATCGATTTTCCTCATAAAATTGCAAAAAGGTCTTTTTAAAAAATTTCTCCTTCTTTTAAAGGATACTAGACCTTATTCTTCATACATAGATTTTAAAAACAAAAATATCATTCGTTGAAGTAATTAACTGAATTCAAAAAATTGCCAGTTTATGCCATGATTTGAAATCAAGGAATAGTGGCCTCCAATACCAAAGCCTTCGTCATCATTAAGTCTACTCCATTTTCATTTGTTTCTTTACCATTAAAATTCTTCAAGAAATTGTCTTATACTGGAAGTTCCTTTTGTTTAATCGACGATACCTTCAGTCATGAAAATCTTTGCCTTACTGATGGTGAATATAGACGTTGCCATAGTCAGCACTGATACAATGTCAAATAATATCAAGATTATGTTGGGAATCAATTTCATCTCTATTTTTCTTAATTCAATCCACATATCTGCATTCTGCCCAGAACTAGTTTAGCTACATATTTAGCTGTTAGATACTATATATTTATGAATTCATATAATTAGTGAATAAATTAAGGACAATAAAGGCCATAGAAAGCGACATTTTCTTATGCGAATGCAATCAACCATTAGAGTTAAAACTTAAGCAGCATTATTCCTAGTGGTAAATAAAAAAAAATATTTTTAGAAAGTGAAAAAAAAAACCCACTAGCTTAGTGGTAGCTTATTATGCTATCATGACATAAAACCTAATTATATATTATCTATAAAGGGACAAATCTAATTATTCTCTACTGCCTTGAATAACTTGACTAGTTAGTATATGAATCCACTTTATAATTACGTAAGTGCTTACCATATTGGTAGGCGCAAAAATTGTCCGCTTATTAGAGGAGTTGATATATCTACCTCCAAATCCTTCCATATAGGGATCACTGGGGGTAGGGGGTCGGGGGTGAATTTGTTCTTTATTTTATTAATTTTTTCTTACGATGTAGGATGGAGCATGAAGCTCACCCATTTAATTACTCACCCCATCTGAAAATGCCCCCCCACTTAATTACTCATCCCACTTGAAAATGGTCCTCACTCTTCAAGCTAAGGGGTTGTAATGTTGCCGTCTCATTATCGTTTTTTGGTTGGGCGGGGGAGGGGGGGGGGGGGGTTGTGATGTTGCCTCTTCAGCTTTACCTATGTGGTGTGTTGTGTTGTTCTTGTGACAAACATCTATGCCACTATAACCCAAGCATCGAGGAACACAATAGCCTGTATTTTAGTCATATGTGTGTTTTGGATGGTCATAGAATTTTTTTTAATTAATAAGCTTACTTGAACGTAAATTACAAATGAAGGATGCAATTTGAACTCTCCAATAGTTTGTATAAGTATTCTTCTTTGTTACAGATCACTCAGTCAAATGATATATAGGTGACATAGAGGTTTGTGTCGGTATGCATTGAGGGCTGGAGGTGCACGTGGGCAGGGGAGCATACATGCGTTTTAGATGGTCAGTTGTTGATAATTTATTGGAAACTTATTTACGACTTACAAGCCTCCTTAAACCTAAATTACAAATGAAGGATGCAATATATGAAGCTTCCACTAGGTTTCTTCTATTACAAATTACACAGTTAAATGATATAAAGATGATGTAGAGGGTTCATTTCCTAAAGTTATGGCAAATAGAGCATTACTACATTTACTGTGTAGAATTGTGCTAGGTGTCCATTATTACGTAATGACACGGCACAACTTATCGACAATTCTTGGTGGTAAATCATTTATCTAATTCTTCTGGACCCATCGAATAAAGGATGTAACATATTCCAATTTGTGGAATAATGTCTGCATCCACTTCATACTGTCTGATCGAGTTTAAACTGAAATGCTCTGCAAGTTCACTATATGCAAGTTCTCACTATAAAAATCTGGCACTCACCCTCCCTTCAACATATTACTAGGGAAAAAACAGACTTTGCAAATCATTGCAGGCTGGTAAAATTTCTCTCAATTTTCTCCTTTGTATTTTGCTCAATTTCTTAGTCCTTGCTTATATATATGTGACAGCTAGAGAATCAAGAATGAAGTTACTAGCTCTTCTTCTTCTTCTTGTTCTTACACTAGTCACCTATGGCTCAGCTGTGTGTACTTTGGCCATAGAAGTTCACACAGATGCACAGAACTATCAGCATGAAGTGGAAAAGAAGTTATTAGAAGAGACTGGGAAGGTCAAGGCTGCACTTGAATATTCTGGAAGTACTGTCGACAACCACCATAATATACCTAGGAACCAATATGACAGCCGCACTGGAGGCAACACCGAGGACCCCCCTGAAGGAGATTATAATAATCAAGGAAATGGCACTGGTGACGCTAATAACTTACTAGGATAGAATTTGATTGGAACAATTTGTCTTGCTGTTGAATATGTTTTGTTTGTTAACTTGTTATAAAAGGTGCGTGGTAAGAATTATCGTGTGATATATGCTATATGTTAGCTAGTGGAAGCTTTTCGTATCTGAAAGTATGTGAAGTTGAGCATCGTGTGATATGCTATATGTTAGCTAGTGGAAGCTTTTCATTTCTGATAGTATGTGAAGTTGAGCTTCAGTGTGAAATAAGAAGGTTCTGTTATTACTAGAAAGATGGATTTTGAGATTGTGCACGAGTTGACATGCGTGTTCTTGGAAGTGTCTATCCAAGAAACATCAAAATGGCTAATGGAATTCTCACTATAATGGAAATTTATTATCATGTAGGTTAGAGTATATTTTCTAAAGTTTATCACCAAAATTGAAGAGGATGACAATTAATTGAAGAAGACCATTAAGTGCATTTTAAATCCAGGATTTTAGTTGGCCGATGTGGGGCTGATTTGGTCTCCTGGGGAAGGGTACAAGTTAGAATTTTCTTCTCAGTTGTTTTTATTTAAAGCGCCTTAGTTTTAGTTAATCATGATGCTATACCTTTATACAGTGAATCATAGCTTAGAAATCTCTAGGTCTGTGCAAAGTTGTTAAGTTTGACTGGCGCATAGAAGTACAAGATACTGAATCTGCCATTGCAACGTTATGATAACTTTACCAATGGTCAAAAATTTACACAGTAAACCGTGCATATTCATAGTATGTTACTTTGTTTTCTTGTATATATTGGGATAACTCATTAATTTTTCTATTACAAAAGAAGAAAGTCCTTGCTTATCTTTTTTCTCTTTTATTTTGTCCTTGCTTAATCAGTCCTCAGGAATCTTTAATTTCTTCCGTTATGCAGTTAATTAATTTTTTGAAATGTAATGAACGAAAGCTGCCCTTGAAATAAAGTATTGAGATAATGCACACCTTCCTAAATGGAGCTTTCAAGTCCCAGCTACAGACTTTATTCCAGAAAAATTGGGGTGGTATTGCAAGTATTTACAGCAAAGACTTATAACCACATTGAATAGAGTTAGGATGGATGGTGGCTTATATTTTGATGCAAGCTTCTAGTAGGGTTAACCTTATGTTTGAAATGGTTACAAGTCACTTTCCCTAAGTTTTTAAGCCATTATTTTGTATAAGCTGGGTTTTGACTTTACTGAAGCATCAGTAGTGAAATGATCACGGAGAGGGTAACCCCTTAAATTTGAAACATGGAAAATTTTTGTTCTTCAGTCTTCATTTTATTTTAGCTCTTGCTTTATCATTAGATACAACGGAAAGAAAGTCTTAAAATCTAATAATTAAAAGCACTCATGAGGTTTCAGCATCAGTCACCCTTTCCTATATCAGCCAAAATCTCCACCTTTGCTCAAGCTTCTTCATATGAAGTTAACTTGTAGGAGTTTAAAAGTCCTTCCGTCAGTAAAAGCCTAATTAAACTTTAATGAGATCTTGAAAAACAATGACAAACACATGCACGTGAAAAATAAACTGCAAACTTGCAGGCATTTAAGTACAAAGGTCTCAGTTTGGTCTTGAACCCGGGAAACAAATCTTTAATGAGATATTGAAAACAATGACAAACACAGGCACGTTAAACATAAACCGAGACTTGAAGCATCATTACCAACAACCCTTGTCTTTGACGTCCTGAAAACTGCTGTTAAGATGAAGAAACCACAAATAATTTCAGTATAAGTGGCTTCTCATAATTTTCTTTTTTCTTTTTTACTTATTTCCAGTTATTGTTGTTACTGTCATCACCATGCTGAAATCTTTTTCTCTTTAAAAATTTCTTCCATCATGAGCATTTTCAGAAGGCCTTTCATTTACGTTGCCTCATATCTTGTGTGTGGCTCTTTGTAGTTTTGCAGTCATTTCCTCTCTAATTTGGTATTCTTCCTCGTATAGGAACTGGCAAATTAATTTAGCAACATAATATAGTCACTACAGTACGTAACATAGTACATAGTAATAGATAACTGCCGATAAAGGTACATCATCCATCATTTGCCTTTCACAATGCACCTCATTGCACATGCATATAGATGCCTATCAGTTATCATAAAACTCCACACCCCATGCTCCAGAAACCCTAATCAAGGCTAACACATTCACCTGGTACAATACACGTTACATGCTTATAAGTTATATACTTAATGAAACACGCATGTGCGCACACACAGTCATCCATTGTTGCAGCATGCATGTGGTGAAGGGTTATACCAATTTGGTGCTGGTATTCTATGATGATAGTCTGTATTCATGCTATCAACAACGTTATCGGCCCTCTCACTATTTCCACTATCAACCAGTTCCTTTGTCGCTCCAACTTTGTCATTTGCCTGTATTTCATAACTCAACACCTTCCTTGGTATTGCAAAGCATGAGCTTACCAACATGAGCCCAAGAACAAGAATCACCCAAGCCTTCATCCTTCTTCCTCTTTTACCTACAAAACATATACCTCGTCAATAATACCATGTTGCCATAAGTAAAAACTCGGTAAGTGGCATGATTGTTACCGTTGAAGGGAAACTCTATATGAGTGTTTGGTTGAATGAGAGGGAGGAGGAATGCTACTTATAGATGGAAATTGTACAGAGCATTTCACTACTGATTCTCCACAAATATGCGACAATTGCCAGTGGGGTTAACACCAAAATCTCATCAATGATTCAATTTCAGGAAAGTTTATTCTTCTACAAGCCATAAATAGAGAATAACTTTTTTTACGTGGTGTGTAAAGGGAAGCCAAATCTTTGATAGATATCTTCTCGAATAGTGTTTTATACCGTAGAGGCTGATATGGAGGTTATTCATATGATACTTGCAACATTTGAATAGAGTTAGGATGGATGATCGCTTCTATTTTTGATCCAAGGCTCTACTAGGGTTAGCCTTATGTTTGAAATGGTTACAAGTCACTATATCCCTAGGTTTTTAAGCCATGATTTTATATAAGCTGGGTTATGCCTTTACTGAAGCCTCAGTAGTGAAATGGTTGCGGAGAGGGTACCCCCCCTGAAATTTGAAACATGAAATTTTTTGGCTCTTCAGTCTTCATTTATTTTAGCTATTGCTTTCTCATTACGTACAACGGAAATAAAGTCTTAAAATCTAATAAAAGCACTCATGAAGTTTCAGCATCGGCCGCCCTTTGCTATATCAGGTAAACTCCCCACCTTTGCTCGAGGTTCTTCATATAAAGTTACCTTGTAGGGTTAACAGTCCTTCCGTCAGCAAAAGCCTAATTAAACTTTAATGAGATCTTGAAAACAATGACAGACACATGCACGTGAAATATAAACGGCAAACTTGCAGGCATTTAAGTACAAAGGTCTTAGCTTGGTCTTGAACCCGGGAAAATCCCTAAACCAATCCCACCTCTAACACACTGAGCCAGGCCTAAGGGGCTATAAATGCTGTATTTAACATCTATTTTCTCATGCATAAAAACAGAACAGTATAGCCTTGGAAATCAAAGAATCGGTTGAAGAATTCGATAAAAAATAGTTTCTCCCTTGTACAATTATTTCATTTTGATAATGCTTAAATTTACGTAGTTATATCCCATGCCTTAATGCCAGTTCTTTCTAATTACTTTTACGTGTAACTTTCACAAAATCTAATTTTGGCAAACAAATCTTATTTCTGGATAAGCATTTCGCAAAGTGCATGACATCAAATGTTCCGAAAAGACATTGTTTATGAAAAAGGTAGATGCACCATTTGTGGATATCAAATCGATGGATAGACGTTCTGCATATAATATCCTTTGGAAAATGACGCCTTAAGATATGTTTATGTCCGTACAGAACATGTCATCTGTTTACAGTACAAAACATGAGAGTAAAAGTATTTGCTTGTCTTTAGGAGCATATGTAATAAAGATCATAAGAATAAAGAAACAGCGAACAAGAACTGGTTGTGCTTATATAGTATTGGTTAGTCAGTATAAAGTATCTGTAGAAAGGCGATGATCAGTCACTGTTTACTTCTTATGGTACCTGTAGAATATTACTGATGATAAATGATTGCTCTAATGATATAAAAATATACAACATGATCGTCAACTTTCTTCTTTGGAATCTTGTGGTAGTGTCTCCTATCTCCTCAAAAATTGTCGATTCCACTTGTGAGTGGAAATGTGCCTAGTAATGATCCACTTTAAACGATAACTATGTAATGGGCTTTTCGATTACAAGTTGGTAAATGCCTATTGGTACTTTGGTAAGCCAAATGACTCTAAAAAAAAAAAAAAAAAGAATCTAAGTAACATGCACAAAGTGTCCACTGAAATGGCAAGCATGTAATTTCGTCATTAGACGGCTCATTTATAGGCGCGAAAAGATGGATTCAGTTTCCACCATATTTGCAACTGATCAATTTGATGCACTGGGCATGAAAAGATTTCCCATTTTCTAAACCACTACCGTTTGCCCATTCAAACAGTACCTTAATATTTCTCTTAACTCTCCTAATTTATTCTGTTCTGAAATTCTAGTAACCTTTCCAAGCTATAAGGATCAAGCATGAAGGTCTTAGCTTTACTTATAGTCATATCCTTAGCCTGTATAGTTCTCAGCAATCCTGGATAGCTGACAAATATTGATAATGATCATATAAGGGTGTGGCATTTGCAGATCAGAGCCAAGAGTTCGAAGAATGGGAAAAGGATCAATAATCAGATAAATAGTCATCACAACATACCTCGAGGGGATTGGGGAGGTGACGGAGGCAATATCCGTAATCAAAGTTAGCTGCTTCAACATGACAGAACCTTGTATATAGTAGTTATATATGCCCTTTTATGAAGTCTGAAGTAGTTATTAATTAATGTGTTTACTTTATAACTGTTGGGAGAAACCCGGGGCCCAATAGAGCAGGGTCGCAGCAATAATAGAGCAAAAGTAGAGATAAAATGTTGGACACACAGATTTACGTGGTTCGGCACTTGATTGCCTACGTCCACGGGCAAGGATAGAAGAATCTACTATGAAGAGAAAACTCTGGAGTTACAAACTCTCTCTCTTTACAAGGAGAAACTCTCTCTATTTTTTTCTCTCTCACTCTTCTTATATAAGAAGTTGTTTCTGGGATGAGATTTCCTTAAGGATTTGGAGCCCTATTTATAGTTTTTTGAAAAACACTATGCACAATAAAATATTAATATTTTACTGTAGCAGTGGGCCCCA